ACAAGAGAATGTTTTTTTCCTAATTGAAGCTGAGGTGCTGTAAAGCATGCACTATAATTCTGCTTTGTGGCTTCACACCTCGTCGAATGCTATGACTCAGCTACAGCAGGTATTTTCAGTCATATCTCAAAAATTCGATTTTAAAGAAGTGACTAGGTAGGTAGAGAGTGTCAGAATTTCATGTTAGCTTTCAGTTACTGATAGTGTCAAAGTATTTTTATTGCAGCCAAAAGAGATTTAGGTTTCAGTCTGCCCTGTTACCACTGTTTGCTTTACAGTGACTGAAACAAGTCACAGATGAAATTACCATGCTGGAGAGGTACCTTCCACAGTGCAGTGCCATCTCATACTTCTCTGTCTGAGGCATGTAAATCCTAATAGTATTTTGTTTTCATCTATTCTGTTATTTTATCTGCAAAGCTGCTCTTGATCACTACTGAATAATATAAATTGATGTTGTGAAAATATTTTTATGTACATGAATTGCACACAACAACAGTACAGCTGTTAAGAATGTTTGGAATTGACAGCATGAAATAGTTCTTAAATTAAATCAATGAAATTTTCATTTATGAGTCAGGTAAATTAAACAAGAGAAATTTGTTGTTCATAACTGTCTAGTCTTTTTAATAAACAGGCTTCTGTTTCATATTCTAGTATACATACACCTTAATAGCATATTCCAGGCTCTGAAGACTCCATTTTTTTCCTTCTGTTTTTATCTTCTGCCTGCTTTCATAAAAGAACAAACTTATTTTATTTGTTCTTAAGTTGTATTTACCTCAGATAACTCAGAGATTTATAAAAGGCAGCTTAGAAAAAAACACTGAAAAAGAAGAGGCTTTATGATGAAAAAAAAAAGAATAAATATTTCCATTTGTGTTTATACATATTTTTCTTCCCCTCTTCATAAGATTGAAATGAGTTTCATAAGAGTACATTTAACTTAGACACTTAAATGAAACTACAGCGGCACTACAGAGTTCATTATAGACTTAGTAAGCATTATCATGAATTTTTTTTTCTCTTATAGTATATAGTAGCACATTTGCATAGTAGTCCATATGTTGGGGAACTTGCTGAGAGACTGCAAGTCCCGTCTCAGTCTGCAGAGATTAGACAAACACCTCCTACATCTCAAGAGTACTCCTCAATCACTGAGATGAAGTCATGTTCATGTAGCCTCTTCTTGCTCTCCTGCCAGCCAGGGCACAAATTCACACACACCAAATATGCTTTGCACACCAAAAAGCCCCATGCTCCCTAATGAGGCTCTTCAGAAGTTCATTGAGCTCTCTCCTCTGGCTTTCAGAAAACTTAAGGAGCCTTGAATCTTTCCTCTGGCATTTGTAACTTAAGTTGTATGGATGTATTTTTGTCCATAGCTTATGACTCAGAGGGGTGATTGTGTTCTAGATGTTTTCAAGAATTAAAAAATAATTTTTTCATCAATACTCTCCTTTTTTAATTTACAAAAAATGCCAATAGTAAAGTTACCTGTACATAAAAAATACAAATGGATAGAAAATGGCAGAGTTGCCCATATCCAACCAACAGACCTTCTTCTCCATTTCTGTAATTCTAGAGATTGAAATTACAGGACACATGTCTGGCAACCACTTATCTGAACTATTTCTATTTTGTGGCCTACAAATACTAATGAAAAAAGTACCTTTGATATACCTTAATTTGCTGGTTAACAGCAATTCCATTTATACTGTGTATTCTCACAGACTGCTATAAAATTACAGAGAATTCAGAAAACAAAATCAAAATTATTGCTTTGATATATGAAACTGCAAGGAAAAGGAACTTCACTAAAAGGTATTATGAAGAAGAAGCCAATAAACACTTTTTGAAGTATTGACCAATAATCTTATAATAAAGATTTCTGTTATGGGTGCTAAAATTTTAAAATTAAATACCTAGATTGTCTTCTGATCCAAAAGGTTAGTGGTCCTTCACCATTTTTGCTGGTATTATATGATTAAGAAGACATTAATTATGAAGACACTAATTTGTAGGCAAGCATGTTTGATAGACAACATAACATCAGTATCATATTATACCTGCTAATTTACAAAAAGGGCTATGTTTGCAAAATAATGATAGGGTGATCTGGAGGTAACAGCTGGAAGTACAAAGCAGTGAAAATGTCAAAAGTATGATGGAAAAGCAAAGGAAAATATGAGAAACTGTGTTTATTTCAATAATTTATATTCCATATATAATTAAAAAGAATGCTTAATAGCTGCATAGAGGAACAGTTAGGGCTAGTTAAGAAGCAATTAGCCAGCAGGCTGAATAGGAGCAAGGAGATGCCATCTCTAAGCACCAAAGATATCAGATCCCAGGAAAGAGGATTTACATACTTCAGAGCCTCCCTGGCTAATCCGGTAAAAGTCTGCAATGGGAAAATCACAGTCAGCTATACTAAATGGCTGCCTACACAGAGAGCCATCAAGGCTCCTTGTTTTTTTGTCCCAGAATGCCCCTTAAAGGCAATGCCTACTAAGCAACACTATTGCTGACTGTGAAACCGTAGCCTCAGTGTTGGGAAACAGATGGGAATTCGGAAAGTTTTGCTAGCCTTAGGTGGGACAGAATAAGAGCTTCTCCAACTGTTATATTCTGAGTTCAGGTAACACTGGGAACTCTGAATAACAATTTACTAATTTTGTTGCCTGCAAACAACTCAAGAGATAAGGACATGACAAAATGAAGCTAAGACTACATTCTTTATTTGTTTTATTAAATACATGTTTCTGATATCCTGAGATACTTACCAAGTTTCTTACTGTTTTATTTATATGCCTGTCTAATATTGTGAGTTGAGTCATGATTTGGATAAATCAGAGGTATGCAGTATGAATTAAATTTCGGAGGAACCTATATTCCAGAACATCATTAAAGTCAATGGGAATTAAGCATTTTCTGCATGTCTGCTAGGGACCAGTGTAGAAAGAACATAAGGGTGGACGTTTTAGATAATAGCAAATGCCCATCTAGTCCAGAAATGTGTCTCAGAGAGAAATGACTAGGCATATAGAAGGTAGAAAGAAGGAAAGAAGCACATGTTTTCTGTCAGACACCAGTGAAGGAGGTGAAGGAGGAAAGAAATATGAGCTTTCTGAGGCAGGAGGAGACAGGAAGAATCTTTCCTTATCGCATGTGAGTACTGAATAAGTTGAGCAGTTTCATATGGTAGGCCTCGCAAACAGTAGCCATTTCTTTGGTGGTAATACTGAACTTTCAAAACCTTTATTCCTAAAAAAATAATGCTTTAATAAAATGTTTTAATTTTCATAGAATCATAGAATGTCTTAGGTTGGAATGGACCTTAGAGATCATTTAATCCAATCTCTATTTTGAACTACTACTTTTAATTCGTTTTTAGGTTCTTAAATGCCAAATACCAAGATTTAGTGTAGTTTGATATAGGCACAAATTCACATAGCACAGATGTCATGCAAATATGTTGAAAATATGTTTTCTTTTCTCACAATACAATCAAAGCCTAGGCTATATTTAGAATGTGGTTAATGCCTTGTTAAGCTATGTACCTGGTTACACATGAGCTTTCCCAATTATTCATCTGAAATCAGTGCATAAAAGCCTAGTCAAGAGAATTTATGGGCTGCTTCAGGCTGAAATTTGGAAAAAAAAAGCATGTATTGTATATTCATTAATCAATGAGAGTCCTTTTTACAGTCTTGTTTTGTGCCAAATACTGAAACTGGATCTCTTAAGGGGGAATCTTCTGATTCATAAGGAGCCATTCTGAAATTACTTAAGTTCAGCCTATGTTTTTTATTCATAACCTCTCACCTCACAGCTTCTAGAAAGGCGAAGTTGTCATGTTGCATTTGTGGAATTCTGTATGTTACTGCAAGTTCCTCACTAAGCAAAACAGAGCCACAGACATATATGTATTCAAAGGCATCTGAAATCTAAATCTCATTTGAGTCTCCAAGTCAGTCTTCAGGCAGGCATTTTTCAGCTGAGGTGAATCTTATACTTGCTAAAGAGTGAGTATAAGAGAATACATTCTGTAGTAATGCAAACAGGTAGTATAATAGGAAGCTGTCCCGTAGATAACTACATGAATTTCATGAAAAAACACTTTTGCAGGATTGTGAGGAATTAACTTCTTTTCTTCTACATGGCTGCATGCCAACAACAGTGTATTTAAAGTCAGTAACCTGGTAGATAAATGAACAGAGAAGTATGCCTAGATTTACCAGAGAAAAATATTTTAAAGATTAGTTAGGAAAAGTAAGATACATCACATTGATTGCAGCTGGTGACTGTGGTGTAAATACATTCACAGTCTACAGTAGTCACAGTATCCACAGTACTAGTTATTAAAGATTGAAGTTGGCAATAGAGGTTTGCACTACAAAGAAAACATACTCAACTCTAGATACAAATTAGTTTTAAATTTCTCTGTAATAAAATCTGCTAAGTAAGCAGTAATAACTTCAAATCTCACTGTTTTGCTAGACATTATGCAACTAATTTTTTTCTACAACAAGGAGTTATCTTGACCCTCAAATTAATTAGTGTGATTGTTACTTTTATTTTTACTCTTTCCTAAGCTGGCTGGTAGCAGTGAATTGCTTGTGAAGAGCATAGAATGGAATAAAAAGGTTAGAATGAACTAATGTGTTGGAGGGAGGAAAAAAACATTGCAATTTATTAATGTATTCAAACAACTGTTACAAAACTTTACAATTTAATTATTAGAAGATTATAGAACTGCTTCAGTGCTTCTGTACTGCTTTAAATAAACTGTACGTGCAAGGGGTAATAAACGAAATTGTTAATTTCAGTGCATCCTTAGGGAATAGTAAGAGGGGGCAGTTTACATTATTTAGAGCTCCAAATGGATTTGAGCTTATATACAGTAATAAATCTTAACTACATCATTAATTAACCCTGCCGCAAGCCCCTTTTTACCTCAGGAGTTGGAGGACACGGTGTCTGTTAGGATAACTCACCATTCATATTCTTAAAGATGTTTAGGACTGGGAGGATTTGCCGATAATAGGGCACCAAGGCCTCCCCCACCATGTCAGCTGATGCCACCAGGTGCTGGAGGACTTTCAGCGTGATGCAGATGACCTGTCGGTTACGAAGGCTCAGTGCATCTGTGATGTAGGAAGAACAATAGGCAGAAAGCAGAATTAATTTCTAAAATGTAGAGGGAGGGGAAGGAGTCCTCTAATGGACAAATTTAATTAAACCGTGCTCTGCTGGGGATTGTAAGTGGGCCTTTATGAGCCCAGCTTTGAAAGATCCCAAAGATGGATTGCAGTCCTGATGTTATAAAACATTGCCTTGTCTGATTGTTATTTGTTCCCACAATTTGTGCTGACTCTTCAGTAAGCCAAAGAATGCAGCTCATTATTCCCTCATACTGCCTATGTAATACTGGCATGGTCCAAACAAATAAAAAATAAATGTTCAGTAAGTACCATTTGGGGCCAATGGGATTGTACAATTGCAAGACAACCTGCAAAGGTTGACAATGGACACATTCTAGTGCAACAATTAGTGTTTGTATGTTTGTACTCATTTATTTCATGACCATTTTATTCATTCAGCTAACAATTCCTACTATTCTGAGAATCAGTACAATGAAGCAAATGTTTATAGGGAGAAAAACCCCACAAAAAAACCTTGTAGGCTTTTTTTAAAAGACAAACATTCTGAAAAAGAAAAAAGAAAGGATTTTGTCTTGCCTACTTAGATTTTTCTCTTGGCTTTCAATGCCATGCTTCTACTCATTTGACACTAAGACATTTCAAAATACCTTTTGTTTCTCTAAGCTTTTAATTTTACTAAAAGCAAGTACTTTGCATTCTCTTTTGTAATTAAAATGAGTCATGCTTGAAATACATATATATTTTCTTGCAAAATCCTTCTAGTTATAAAACCTTCTCTGAAATTAGGCAGCTGGAAGCAGTTGTCAAATTTGGTACGCTATTATATATTGGTTTAATTCTCGAGTGTTCTGCTCACTTACATAGTCGTTTACATCATTGCACTGGGAAAGCAAAAGCTATAAAAGATAAGCTCCTACTCAACGCTCTATGTTTTATAACTACAGAAGTATATAAATCTGTGATTCAACATAGGACACACCAAAATTCGAAATGGAGTTACTAACAACTTCAAGAACTGCCTCTTCATACTGAAGCAATAGAATTCAGTATTTCAGGCGCTAAGTTTTGTCAGTGCGCAGGAATAAAATCAGAGGGAATGAAGCAGTATTCTCACACAGGAGCAATGTCAATTTTTCCATCTTGTTAAGTAAATGCACTGTGCCCCACCCGCATCTGCTTCTTATCTCATGCCTGCCAAGTGTTAGAAATGAGAGCTAGAGCTCCAGAGTAAGGGCAAGGCAGATGGGTTGTGTGAATATGTAGAGACAGCTCTTGAAAAACAGCTAGTAAGTAACGTCGCTTCATGCCTCCCTGCATGCTTATGAACAGCATACTAAAACTACTGTTAAACAACAGTTAGAGAGAACAAGGTATAAAGGTACTGTAGTGCATCACAGAGTGATTCCAAGTTAAAGAAGTGTTGTTAAATGAAAATACAGACTGAATTCCATATTTCTTATCTGCCAGTCCCTACTGTAGTCATCAGGCTACACCTAATTCCATATTGTTTCTGAACATATCAATGAGCGGACAGGAAGACCATCCATGTGGCATGCTCACCCTAAGTGACAGACAGGAAAATAATTTTTTACAGAAGAACAGGCATTATTCCTTTTCTTAAAGGAATGACTGGAAGAGTAAGCTTTGGGGTTCCAACATATATTCATGCCAAAATTGTGATACAGAGAAATAGTAGCTAACCTAACTAACTGGGAAATTATCATTAACACTTGTAAATTTTAGTACAATAATTATTAGTTACTCACACAAACATGACTGAATATTTGCATTCATGTGTACGAATGAACTCATACAAACGTGAATAAAATCAGTAAGATTATTTATAAATACAAAGATGAATAATTAAATTAAGGGACATAAAAAGTAATCACAGCCTTTTAATCCTTAACTAAAAATTGTACTCACTTTCAGGAATACTTCTTCCTAATTGTAGAAGCTGTCCTAGAGGATAAGAGGCCTTACTTTTGGTTATGGAGGGTGTAATGTAAGTGGAAATCGCTGTCCAACTACCCCTAGGAAGAACATTTTCATGCTGATGGCGGCTCCCAAAGGTTTTCACACTTTCGTGTTTTAAGAGTTCTGTCTTGTGCAAAGACAACCCTGGTGTGAGTGGAAGCCAAGACTGTCCTGGTAAAGGCTAATTCCTCAATAAAGTCAGGAGTGTGAATTATGCTTCATGACTGAAAGGGCACTTCAATGAGTGCAGCAAACTGAACACATACTGAACCCAGAAAGACATTTACAAAGAACAGCTCATCACAGAACCTGTCATGCAAGTTTCCTTAACATCTGAGTTGTGCTGCAGGGGTGCTTGCTGGTAAAACCGGCACTGGTTTCATATGCGTGCTAGAAAATCAGTTTGATATTTGTCTCATCTCCCTCAAATCAGGGGCATCCCATTCTCCGTTTGACACATGCAACAAAAGACAGCATTCGGATCAAGATTTTGAGTGCCAAAGTGATGGATATGGTTGAATCAAACAGACAGCAGAATTTAAGCCTGAAGCCATTAAAATTGCAGAATTCTGCAGTGTGTTCTAGGAAAACACTTGTAAATATCAGAAGTAAGATCAAATTGACTGCAGAACTGTTATTATTATTAAATATTTGGACTGTGCAAGCATAGCAGTCAACCAGCTCCTGGCTTGATTATATTAGGCACTGTATAAACATTTAATTAGAGACAGTCCCTGCCCCAAGGATACATCAATTTCAAACATATGTTTATCTTTTTAAAATCTGGTAATTATTTTCTGTGTACTATCATCACTGCAGACCATTCTCCCACAGGAATCAAAGGAAGACAATTTTAATGCAGTACATGAAATAAGCACCTTTCAGCATTTTGAAAAACATCACTGAAGTCAAGAGGTTAACAGAAGTGGAAGAAATTACTAGTACCCATCTCAAAGAAAAAGATCTAGAAGGTATGTAATTTGGTATTTTTTTATTTTTGTATTTTATTTTTACTTGACAGTTTGGAAAATCCTATCTCAGTCTCAGATGTTGCCTATAACAGATGTCAGAGCTCTCATCTTTGGGACTGATACATTTTACAAGCCAGGAAATATGACAGCATTTCGTCCATGACACAACGTATTTTTACAGAAGAGAGCAAATCAGAACATTCTTCCCCAGGTAGCACTTTGATAGCCTCAGCTTTGCAGAATCAAATCAGATTCCCCAAACATCCATTTCTTTTCTGAGTATTAAAGTTTAGATTTTAATAGTTATATTTAAACTTATTCCAATAATTTAAATCTCTTTAATTTGCACTGTCCTTTAATTATATACAATCTCTTTTTCAAATGCACCTGTGAATCTATGTTTAAAAATGCTCTGACAGTTTCAATTTTCTCACAACAGAAGACTAAAATCAATTTAATCTGCATTGATACCTCTCCCTGTACTGGGTTTTCATGGCCAGGTTTTGGTAGCCAGGGTGGAGGTGGTGGCTACAGGTGTGGCTGCTGTGAGAAGCTGCCAGGAACCCCTGTGTCCCATAGAGTCATTGCCAGCTGGCTCCAAGAAAGACCTGCCACTGGCCAAGGCGATGGTGGTAAATGCCTCTGTGATAACATGTCTAAGAAAGGAGGTAAAAAACCATGGCAATTGCAGAGAGAGAGAAAGGAGTGAGAATATGTGAAGATACCAGGGTCAGGGAAGGGAGGACGGGAGGGAAGATGTCCTCTGGGTGCCAGAACAGTTTTCCCTGAGTCATGGTGAAGACAATGGTGACGCAGGCTGTCCCTCTGCAGCCCATGGAGGTTGGTGGTGGAGCAGATATCCTCTTGTAGCCCATGGAAGACCTCATGCCAGAGCAGGTAGATGCTTGTGACCCCACGGGAAGCCCACAGTGGAGAAAGCTCCTGGCAGGATCTATGGAGAGAGGAGGCCATGCCAGAGCAGGTTTGCTGGCAGTACTTGTGTCCCTGCGTGGGACTCATGCTGGAGCAACTGCTCCGAACGGACGCCATGAAAAGGACTCGCATTGAGGCAGTTCACAGAGAACTGTCTTTCATGAGAAGTACTCATGAATGGTATCCTGTGAGAGGGACCTCATGCTGGAGTGGGGGAAGAGTGAGGAGACCTGCCCCTGAGGAAGAAGGAGCAGCAGAGATAACACTTAATGAATTGATCATAACCCCCATCACACATACCCCTGCACTGCTCAGGCAGAGGAGGTAGAGAAATCAGGAGTAAAGTTAATCCTGGGAAGAAGGAAGGGGTGGGGGGAAGGCAGTTTCTTTAAAGATTTGGATTTATTTATCCTTGACCTTCTCTGATTTGATTGGCAATAAATTAATTTCCCCAAGCCAAGTTTGTTTTGCTCCTGACAGTAACTGAGAGATCTCCCTATCCTTACTTCAACCCAGGAGCCTTTTGTTGTATTTTCTCTCTCCAGTCCATCAAAGAAGCGGAAGTGACAGAACAGCTGTGATAGGCACCTGTGACAGGCCTTCAGGCAGGGTCAAACCACTACACCCCTCCCGTCTGCTAAATGAGGCGCCTGTTTTAGAAAACACTTTGCCTGAAGCAGAACAAGATACATAGAGAAGGTCTCCTGCAGGCTAACAAGCACTCAGGATAAAGATGCTTTGATTGTTGTGATCTACTTAATCCTCTTGATCAAGGGCTTCTTTTCTTAAATTCATGGAGTCAGGTTTAAAGAATTGCTAACATGAAGTGTTCTTAAAATATAATTCATAAAAGTGATACTCTTGCAGAGAATTTTGTCCAAAACTTTCAAAATACGTAATACTCAAATACCTGAACTAATAGAAGTATTACTTTAATTTTACAGAATAGTACTGAAGGCTGTTACAAAACAGCATTTCAATCAGGAGTGAGTAAAAAGCAGAATAACAACCTTGTGTTCTGTAATTTTTTAGTCAGATAAGATAGGAAATGAGGGCAACAATAAATAGCCACAGAGGAGAAGTATCACTAGTACAGCCATG